GGTACCAAAAAAAAAAAAAAAAAAAAAAAAAAAACAACAAAATGCATAGGTTAGCTCACAGCTCTGCTACTCTTCTAGGATGTCTCCGGGCAAGACCTAGCCTCTGTGGGCCTATTTCCCTCTCTTTGAAATGAGGCTGTTACAGCACCTGCTTCAAAGTGTTACTGTGAGGATACATCGACATACACAGATGTACATACTGTACATAACATACGAGCATATATATATTTTGTATTATGTATGTGTACACACACACTACATACATATATACTGTGCTACAAAACGCACGTTAAAATAGTGCCCGGCACAGAGTAAGCGCTGTGCAATGATTATTTATAATATAAGCTGTTGAAAACAGAGAGGGCAGCAAGTGTGTTCTAACCATAGATTGGATAACTCTCCTTAAACTGCACTGGCGCTTTGGCCCCACCGTTTGTTACACTCTTCTAACCAACCCCTCTCCAGTCTCACTCACACCTTAGAACACTGAAAACTACCCCGGCTATCCGCTAGGATGGAGCCAAATGCAGAGTGGCCCGACTCTGGAGCATATATTCAGACTTCCTAGCGATGACTCCTTGATATCCCAGGCCGGGGCCCATGATCGCTCTCCTTCGAAACCCGCGTCAGGGAGACCTAGGGCTTTCACAGCGAGCGCCCGGGTGGTCACAGGTGGGCTGGCCTCCTCGCCAGCAGGAGTCTGCGCCTGAGCGGAGGAGAGCCTGCTCCTCCTCCCCAGCTCCTTCTGCATCTGTCACTTTGATTTTTGTCGTCAGGCCTGGAGACACTGGTTTCATTTGTGCATCACCTGGCCTGGCTTTCCAGAGCCACTCCGTGTGTGCATGGTGACACGGCTGTCCTCTCTTTGCAGAAATCTACACCAACACCTACGCGGCCGGAGGGACCGTCGAAGGGGGCGTGTCCGGAGTGGAGCTCAACACCGCCGTGGGGGCCGCAGAGTGCCTGGCGACCGGAGCGGCGGCAGTGGGCGCCTCGAGGAAGAGGAGCTCCACCATGGGCACCCTGCGGGAGTACGCGGACGCCGGCCCGAACGTGGCCTTCCTGGACAGCTACTTCTCCGAGGTGATGTGCAACAGTGCTCACCATGGCAACAGCTCCTTCTGCAATACAGTACATTCTTTCCTGACACTGTGCCAGTCTAAATAAAAGAATACTTCACTTTTTGAAATGCACAACGCCAGGTTGCAGCAGTGTATCAGGTTCCGTTGCCATCCCCCCTCTTTAACACTGCAGAAAACAAGGCTGGCAGCCCTCACGGTTCTCCGTTTCCTCTTTCCATTCTCCTGTCTTCCTTCCCTCTTGTTTTCTCATTGTTTCTCAGAGCGTGAGCAAAGCTGAAGGATGCTGATCGAGAAAAAAGGAAGTGTGCTTATGGCCTCTTTGTAAAGTCCTTCCCATTCTGCAGGAAGACGGTGCCGTTGTAAACTACACCTTAAAAGCAGTAGTTGAAAATATTGTTGCAGAACGTAAGGAGTGCTATCAATTATTTAAATGACCGATGGATACCAACTCATCAGTCTGTTCAATGAATGGGCACAATATGTAAAAATTGTTGTTTAAAGCCCTTATAAAAATCACACCTATATCAAAGGAGTTCTAGCATTAATTTCAGAATTGCACTTAACCTTTTGTTCCTTCAGCTACAAGCAGTGCATTGTGAGACAAATAAAACAAAGATGAATTCTCCTTTCGGTACAGGAACCGAGAGCCCTTCCAAATCACTTTAGCGCTGCACTTAAAAACAGTTCTGGAATTCGGGGCGATTTGGGGAGACTAGACACCTCTGCGTTAGTCAGTAATACATCAAAGTACTAGTGTTCTTCCATTCATCCCATAAAATCTTTTTAGATCAAAAGTCTCTGAAGCATTGCTTTTATTCATCTTTGATAGTTTTGATGGAAAAGAAATGTTTGTAATGTCCTGTTTTTCTTCTCATTTTAGAAGGCGTATGCATTCGCGGATGAAGACGAAGGCCGACCGGCCAATGACTGCTTGCTCCTTTACGACCATGAAGGAGTCGGGTCTCCCGTGGGCTCCATCGGCTGCTGCAGTTGGATTGTGGATGACTTAGATGAAAGCTGCATGGAAACCTTAGATCCAAAATTTAGGACTCTTGCTGAAATCTGCTTAGACACAGAAATTGAGCCATTTCCTTCACACCAGGCCTGTATACCTATCAGTACTGACCTCCCTTTGCTCGGGCCCAACTACTTTGTGAATGAATCTTCAGGAATGACTCTCTCAGAGGCTGAATTCCAAGCAGAAATGGCAGCGACGGAACCAGTCATTCATGGGGACATCATAGTGACCGAGACCTACACTACTGCTGAGCCATGTGTCCAGCCCACTACTATTGTTTTCGACCCACAGCTTCCACCCAATGTTGTAGTAACTGAAACAGTAATGGCACCTGTCTATGATGTTCAAGGGAATATTTGTGTACCTGCTGAGATAGCCAACACACACAATGTATACTATGCTGAGAGAGTATTGGCTAGCCCGGGGATGCCTGACGCGAACAGTGTTGGCATGGCTGATGCTTGCATGGGACCTGTGATGAGTGGTGGGATTTTGGTAGGGCCAGAAATTCAAGTGACACAAATGGTGAATCCAGACATTCACATAAGCCAAACCATTGGCTCTACATCCCCGATGACATCTCGACATAGGGTAACACGATATAGCAACATACATTACTCCCAGCAGTAAAGGTTCTACATGGAGACCTTATACCCTAAGAATCACCACCACTGTGTCCATCACAGACATATAATGTACTATATTAACATTTTAACAGTTAAAAAGCATTCAAATATTCTGTTTAATGTGGTTCTTTGATTCATTGGGAAGGGGGAATAGGGCTAAGCACTTTAGATAAAACTTTTTTAGTTTTTCTGATTTTAAAGAATATGCAAAAAACCGAAGAAAAGTTTTTTCTACCCTTTGACACTGTCAAACAAATAGCAAATGGTTTATTTTGCAAGTCCTACAGGTCCTAAACTCTATAGAAACAGTCTCGTAAATGAAGATGCTCTTGTTCTTGAGAGTTGCAAGAGAACCTTTACCAGCATCCACTGGCCATATTTTTCTGTAAAGAGATATTTCTACTAAAATGTATTGACTGAAAAAGTGAATGCAGTGTACACTTCAGAAAGGAACTTGAGAAGGAATATGAAGCATATATCTAAAATCATTTGTTTCTCCACGTCATTTCTCAGGATAGGCAATATTAAGCAATACAGCACACTTAGTATAAAAAAAGAGTTTGCCAACTGGAATTGGCTCATGAAAAGGAAATATATATGAATTTTATTGTGCCTTATTGATTAATGTAATTAGCTATAAATTAATGTAGAATTGCAAAAAATTTTGACAAGTCTACAATAAACAGATCTGGGAGAAAACATTAGCATTTTCCCTATATTTACTAATTATATAAAAAGTGAAACAGTTTAATAGTTGTTGACCTGAATCATAGAGATTTTATTTGACAACTGGATGAAAGCTCATCTCTACTTATATATTCAACAATATTTACTTAGAATGCTATTGAATGTTGGTCTTAGCTCTGTGAACATAGAGCTGAAGAAAAGAGATGTGACGTGTGTCCTTATAGAGCTTTCAATTCATTTCTAGACCCAAGATAAAACTCTGAGATATGGCCTTGAAATTCTTATCAAACTGTGTAAATTCATTACCAAGTTGCATTTCTCTTTCTAATAAAACTGTTTTACATTGAGTGAATAAAATGGAAACCCCCTCACAGGATGCTTATTTTTAGTAAGCATAAAGCTGGCTTAAGAAAAAGAAATTCTGGGAAGTACTTTTACTGAATTCTGTAACATATGTAAACTACATAATAGTAACTATAATGTGACTAGAAAGACACTGTAAATGAAATAAACTTATTTTGAGGGCTCATTCCTTTTGGAAAGAAATAATTATAGTACTTGTCTCTTTTTTGTTCCTTTATGAATTAAATCATGGTCGAATTTGAAGCATCTCATATAACCTCTTGCTCAGCTGTCCCATTTCATAGACAAAGAATCTAGAAATAAAGAGATTAAATGACCACAGTCACTTAGCGCTGCTTTGGACCCACCTCTCAGATACCCTGGCCAGTGTTTCAGTATTATAACTCCATCAGAATAGAAAGAATTTAACTTTGTCTATTGCATAAGCAATTAAAGACTAATTGGAACAAAAAATACCTAATTGAAACAAAAAATAGCTTCATTGGAACAAAAAATATCTCTCCAAAAAAGAGTGGCTAAAATATTGTAATGCTAGATTTACATATTTTGTAATAGTTTCCAAATTATACACACTGCCAACTGTTATTGTCATTCTTCACTTTAGTTACATCAAAGAATCTGCTACATTTCACTCATCTATAGTTTCATTAAATCCATGTGGTAGCCAAGCACCACTGCTTCCATGACCAATAATTCTAACACTTATTAAACAACTAATGATAATTAAGTGAATGTACTGACACTTGAGAACGAAGAATAAAGAAGAACTAAGCATTTAACCAATAGATTAAAAATTTTTTAAGAGATAAAATTACTTGCACAAAGGATTTTTAAATATGCTTCTTTGAACTTTTTCTTCTACCTCTTTATCAATATGCAAAAGAATGCTGATTTATTTATCAAGTAAACTTGATATAGCAATTTTGTTAAAGTTTGGAAATGATCTTAGATATCTAGGAAATGAGATTTAATAAATACATATAATAGCACTGCCAAGGATCCCTTTCTCCACACCATCTGTGCAGTAAGATCAGATCCATTGCATTTTCTCAGGGGTAGACTGAGCAGGCACATGCCCATCAGGCCAGGCTGGTCAAGATTGCTCACATGCCACTCAAGCATCTCGAATCAGCTGATCTGTAAATATCATCTCAGGCAAAACAAAAAAGCATAAGGCAAGTTCCTCCATCACTGCACACAGCATAGGGTACTGATTTATCTAGGAAATAAACTTGATATAGCATTTTTATTAAAGTTTGAAAATGATCTTAGACATCCAGGAAATGAGATTTAATAAATACATATAATAGCATATAGTTTGAGCTATATTGCCAGACCTGTGGAATTACTTGAGGAGACAGCATCCGTAAATGAATAAATGGCTTTTTTGGAGAAGTCCTAAGTGAAGCGGAAAGAAAAGATTTATAAAATAAGAGTATTTATGAACTTGTTCAAAAGAAGTCATTTAAAAAAGATTTATCTTTTGGACTAGATATTTCTGATTGCAATATATTACTAAATGTGATCATGTTTTATATATTTCTTCAATTAAAGGTATGTGCTAAAAAGAGAAAAATGTTTCATTTTATCCTTGGTGCAAGTACTGCTTCACACATACACCCAGATACACATTCAGAAAATGATTCCCATTTTTATTAGATGATTATTATCTTTGCCACTGTGAGCACCATATAGCAACATAGATTCATTTGTAAACTGAACTTCAGAATAATTAATTTGTTTGGTAATGATAAATTGTCTCCATAACATCATTCCTTTATTTGTGATTGTTCATTATAAAATAATGAATCAATTGAATAAACATCAGAAATTGTCTAGACACTGTAATTATAGAGTTAAATTTAAATTCAACAAAATTAACTATGATTTCTGTACCACTCAAGCCAATTTCTTTGGAAATAATGAAAGAATAATTGATTTCAATTAAGGGAATAGAGGAAGCTCTACAAAGATGGTGAAATCTGGCTCAGGCAAATGGAGTTTTGTCTGACAAGGGATACAAAAGTATACAAGCCAAAACATAGGCTCTGTCCAAAGACTATTAAGCAATCAAATTAATTTTTGAAATAATAAAATTATCACATAGTCATTTTTAAAATATTGTTACTGCATGAATTACTCAAAATGCACTACCCTACTGTCTTGTTTACTTTCTCTCTTTGCTGACACAAAATACCAGACATCCAGAATTAAGGAAGAAAAGGTTTATTTAGCTCACAGTTTGTGAAGATTTCAGACTGTACTCAGCTGGCTCCAAGGCAGAGTGGCACATGGCAGAGGGCAACAGTTCATGGTAGCTGAAGATAGCAAAGGCAACAAGAGCAAAAGGAAGAAGCAGCGGCAAGCAGCCTCTTTGTCTTACACTGTATGCAAACTACCCACCACAGAACAGAGGTCGCACTCACATCCAGAATTCCAACACTGGACCATGAATCAATCATATACCCTGGAAGCCCACCTCATGACTACATGAGGCTTTAGGGGGACATCCAGACACAAACCATAACACCTATTCAATTCTCAAAACAACATAAGGTGTGATTTATCGCAAATAAAGACACTAAAGCTAAGAGAAATTGTTATCTTTACATTAGAGCATTAGAAGCCAGGCATGGCTGTGCACACCTGTAATCCCAGCACTGGGGAGGCTGAGGCAGGAGGATCATTGTGAGTTTGAAACCAGCCTGGGCTACAAAGTGAGCTCAAGTCCAGCCTGAACTGCAGAGTGAGACTCTGTCTCAAAAAGACAAAAAAGAAAAAAAAAAAAAAAAAAAGAAAGAAAGGAAAAGAGAATTAGGGAGTAGAAGAGTTAAAGTCAAACCCAGGAATTCCCAACTCCAAAGACTTTTATTCCCACCAAATTCTATTGATTCAATTCTGGAAGGATACGTGAGAAGCAGGTAAAACTGGATCTCCTTAAGAAGTTGGATTTAGGGGTTGGGGATTTAGCTCAGCGGCACAGTGCCTGCCTGGCAAGCGCAAGGTCGTGAGTTCGATTCCTGGTACGGAAAAAAAAAATAAAAAAAAGTTGGATTTAATTGGTTAGAAAATGGGAAACCAGTGAAATGTTTGTGCCATTAATGTCCGGGTCCCATTTTATGAGATGGTCTTCTGGCGGTCGCATGACAGCTGGTGCGCTGCTGACCACCAAAACACACACACTCTCATTACAGTCCACTAAGGCAGAGAGCCCTGTAATTGTTTCTGTGGCAGTCAGGATCTGACTCACCAACATTCTAAGCCTAGGTCTTTTTTTTTTTAACTAGGAATCAAACTCACGACCTCACACCTGCCAGGCAGGTGCTGTGCCACTGAGCTATACCCCAACACTAGGGGGTCCTTTAGATCATCACTAAACTGAATAGATTAGCACTGGATTTCCTAAACTGATGCCAATGAAGCATTATACAATTAGCCAAACTACTTGTTCACTGGATGCCCTTGACCTTTTCTATTACTTCAAGCGAAGTTCATATTAGGACTTATTTGTAGTTTGTAAAACAAGGCATGGTTTCCTATACTTCTGTCACTCTGCATCACCCTCGTTCTTAATCTGGAAACTACTCACTTTATCTGTTAGCTTTCTCTTACCTCTCCATGCTCACTTCAAGTCTTGCCCTTTCCCACGAGTGCTGTTTGACATTTCTTCCACTGCCCCAAGGTGCTTGCTTGGTTAACTGTCCCTCCTTGTCCCCTTCAGTAATGGACACGCTGCCCTTCCTCTGTCTGCTAACCTCTCAGCGACCTGAGAACAAGCATAATGTTTCTCCCCTTTCCCTACCTCCAGTGTTAGTAGAACATCTAGTATACAGCTTCACTTGTTAATTTTAGGGTAATGCAGTCCAGTTCTCTCAAGCACCCAAAAGCAAGTGTCTGCAGTTCACCAGTATCGCCTCTAGAGAGCAGCCTTTGGGATCACCTTCCAAAGCTTGGGTAAACTTCACCCTTGGGGAGAAGGTGCTTGTACGTACATAATTCACAATGGCATCGACTTTGCAGGAGAAATGAAAAAGAACTTCTAAAAAGTTATGTAAGGTAACTTCTCATGCTTTTTGAGAGAAATTATGGTACAGATCAATAAAAGAAATACCACAGTTATAAAGTGAATCTAGAAAATGTAGCCCCTTAAAGATTTTAAAAGTAGGGGCTGGGGATATAGCTCAGTAGCACAAGTGCCTGCCCAGCAAGCGTGAGGTTGTGAGTTCGATTCCCGGTACAAAAAAAAAAAAAAAAGGAAGATTTTAAAAGTAGATGAGGAGGCAAAACCGATAATTACAATCCAGCACAGACATCCCAAACAGCCAGTTTTTAGAGCAACTATAGCAGATTTGCTTTTCCTAGAGTTGCTCGAAAAAGAAGTATAACATCCAATTGACATCAGTTTGATTACTGAATTTTTTCTGTCATACTTTTCTGCAAGTCAGTTTTTTTTTCAGATTATCGTGAACATCATTCTGTCAGGACATAGACATACTTCATTTTTCAAAAATTTACAGAGTATTTATAAATTTGTACCACAAATTTTTACCATCACCTTACTACAGAAAAGGTTGATTCCAGCTTTTGTTATTATAAATAATGCTATGTGAACATTTACATATATATTACATACACACAGAAAAGCTGAAACATTTCTATAGATTAGGTTCTCAGAGAGAGCGCCACACCAAAGGATATATGAAAATAATTTTTATAGATGGTTCCCAAATTTCCCTTCCAAGAGGAATGAATATCCATTTAATTTTCACTCTCTGTTGTTGAGAAGACTTGCTTAACCATAAACTTAATAATTGATATTATCAATTTATAATGATTAATACTCTAGTAGGAATTAGGATTACTTCATATTACCTACCCATTATACAGAATCTGACATCTAGTAAATATAAATTGACTAAATCAAAGAAAGAATCATTAAATAAATATTATGTTACCACATATACTTAAATATTTCTTAGTCTCTCTTCTCTTGCATTGATCTATTGTCATAGATGTTAATAATTCTTTTACTGAAGCCATAATACACTGTTTTTCAGTTTGTTTTGATAACTGCTGGGGATAGTCTCCACTCATTATTGTTTTTTAAATTATATATATATATTTTGGGGGGGGTCTCGCCATGCAGTTTAGGCTGGCC